GCTGTGCTTTCCGCCGGTCTCCTCTGAGACTGATGGGGAGCAAGGAGTAAGCGGGACAGGAGCAGAGGCCACCGCGTGGCCATCGAGGACAGCCGGGGTGCCAGGCTTGTCCTTGGAGGTGCAGAGAGAGACACCACCCCAGAGCCGGGTCCTGAGTCCAGACTTGCCACCTCTGACACTGTGAGAAAGTGGATTTCTGTTTGTGAAAGTCCCCCTTGTGGTAGTCCTGCTCCGGCCGCATGAGTTGACTGGGTCAGGAGCCCTGCACGCTGGGGCACACACAGCAGTGCACATCAGAGCTGACCCTGCTTCCTGTGCCAGGAGGCTTGGTGGGTGGCCTCAGGGCTGTGGCCAGCCCATGCCTGTGCACTTGGCCAATTCTGAGACCCAGGACTGCCCTGCCCTCATACATGGCCCTTGCCCCTGGACACATACTCCCCCAGGGCCCAGAGTTTGGGTCTTTGGGGACTGCTCCTTGCAGGCAGGCCTCCCAGACTGCTCCCTTCTCCAGTCCAGACTCCATCCCCTGAAGCAAGGACAACTGAGGAAGCCACTGCCGTCTCAGGCAGTGCCTTCTCTGAAACTATACCCCTCCCCCTCCACTCCCAGGCTGCCCTCTGCCTCAGGGCCCCCACCCTGTGCTGAGCAGGGGCCTGTCTTAGAGACACTGGTGTTTGGCCCCTGCAGCTCAGCCCCCAAAGGAAGGCCAGTTGTTTGTCTGTCCCCTGGATCCCAGGGACCATGCAAGTCTGCATCCATGCAGCCCAGGCCCCCAGCTTAGGGCTGGCCTCCAGGTGATGTTTAGACAATGACAAGGTGATAGGAGCCCAGCCTCCCAGAATGTTCTGCCAAGGTCCTGCCCAGGCTCTATCCCAGTCCCAGCCTCTGCCCTGGTCTCTGCCCAGCCCTAGCCCTGCTCCTGCCCCTTCCCTTGTCTCTGTGCTGCTCCCAGCCTCTGCCCTTGCCCTGGCCTGGCTCCAGCCGCTGCCCCTATCCCTGGCCAGGCCTTGCCCCTGCCCCTGCCCTGCTTCCTGCCCCTGCCCGCCCAGCCCAGCCCCTGAGTGTATTTGTTTGCTGGAGAAGCAGGCCGCCCGCCCCCCAGCCCGCACAGTCGCTCCGGGGGCAGCACTTTCCCGAGATTGAAGGCAGAATTGCTCCAACGCCGGTGCTTTTATCCTCCAATTTGCAGCCATTTAGAAGTGCTGGGCGGAGGGGCTGTGGCGACTGGCTGTGCTGTCGGCATGGACGCGTCCACTGCAGCGGAGAACAGGCCCTTTGTCCTTTCTCAGTCAGCCCGGCATTGGGCTGGGGGCCTGTGAGGGCCAGGCCAGGTGGTGCAAGGCCAGAGGGGCCTCAGATGGCCAGCCCTCACAGTGGTAGGGCATCGCAGGGCGGTCCCTAGTTGGGTCCTTGCACTCCAGACTCAGCACAAGGGGCACTGGAGTCTTGCCCTGTTTCCCCCTGAAACGCCCGGCCCCTGGCATAGCCAGTGACTGGCAGGGGCACACAGGCAGGGACAAGAACTGCCGCAGACCCCCTGCCCAGGCTCGCCAACCCTCCTGCCCCTCTGCCTGGGGACCCCCCACCTAGGAAGAGGGTCCTGCCTTGACCCTAGGGGCCCTGAGCCTCCCGGAGACAGCAGAGATGGTAGAGAGGGAGAGAGCAGGGCCTGACATGGGGGTGGGACCTGGCAGGCAAGGCCCTAGAGAAAAGTACAGGCAAGCTGTGGAGGGGGCGAGGGTGGGGGGCGCTGATGTCCAGGGGAAATAGCATTTCCATGTTTAAAAAATCTCGCGGCGAACAGCTTAGGGGCCCTGGTGGTCCAGTGGTGAAGGCACTCCCTGCCAGCCAGACGCCCATGGTTGCCACCAGCCGCTGGGGTGGGGGAGGGGGACAGAGTTCCACCTTGTCTTACGGGGTCCACAAGTCCAAATGGACGCCACGGTTCAGTGGGTGAGGCTGAGGGGGTTGAAGATCAGCGTGTCCGCCTGCAGTGGGGGAGGCGCCGAGGCCCTGTGTCTGGGTGGGTGCTGCGGGTGGCCCTGAGAAAGGGGAGCTGTGGTTAATGCTGACACTGGGGCAAGGCCCATGGAGTGGGGGAGGCTGCCCTGTGGGCTGTGCGTCTGGGGGAGACTGAAGGGCAGTGTCTGCAGCTGCGGACACCCAGAGGGCCTGCCGCACTGCTGTCCGTCCATTTGGGGGACAGTCTGCTCCCCGACAGGCCTCCCCTTTGCTCCTGCTGCATCTGTCACCCTTAGTCCCACCACCCCGTATGCAGCCGCTCCCCCTGCAGCCTCAAACCCACTGAGCCCCCCGCCCTAGGGGTACCCTACACCAGGCCTATGCCCTCCTGCCTGCTCTCAGGAGACCCCCTTCTTGGGAGGTTCTGAGCTCCAGGGGTCGGGACAACTAGAAAGGGTGACCGGGCTCCCCTGTGAGGCAACAGAGGCATGCTCCCCATCAGCTGGAAGTCTAATCCCAAGACGGCCCCCAGCCAACTGAGCAGGGCTGGCCCAGTCCTGGGGTGGGAAGTCTGCACAGTGGCTAGGGAGCCCCTTCCCTGTGGACCCCGTGTGCCTGCTGAGTGCCAGGCTTCCCAATAGGTGTGTGGGCTCTTGGGAGGGTGAGAGGTCTCAGGGTGGGGCCCCAGCTTCTGCTACAGGTATAGCCTGAGGTGAGTGGCCTTTCCTCACGGCAGCCACCCCCAGCCACTTAGAGGCAACCAGGTGTCTGGGGGAGGCTTACAAGCCACCACCCGGCACAAGGTGGGCTCATGTCCGCCCCCCCCATTCCCCCACCCCCCAGCCCTCAGGAACAGGCACCTTGAAAATAATCCATTTTATTTGGGCCTCTCAGGCCTGTGGGCACATGGTGACATACATGCAGAGCGAGGACTTGGGCCAGGTGAGGCAGGTGGCCCCTCTGTGGGACCTCTAGTCCGCTCGGGCTCCAACGGCCCCTCTGCCCGAGGAGACCCCAGCAGTCCCCACCAACGGGGTGGGGTGGCTGGAGTAGACGGAGTGGCGGGCTGCTTCCAGCTCGGTGCAGCGCTCTGCAGAGCACAGGGTAGCGGGCAGGCAGCTGGCGGCTCAGCCGGAAGCAGCAGCAGAAAGGGAGGAGGGCGTGGGAGCCCACACCTGCCAATCCAGCCCAGCGCCTGGTAATTTCGTCTCTCTTGATTAAACATCTAAGGAACATCAAGTTCACAGATGTGTTTTCTTCTTCTTCTTCATCTTCCTGAAAACACCCAGAATGAATCGTCGAGGGCATCTGTGAGCTTCCCAAGGGGCCCCCCTGGGCACTTTCTGGGGGCCAGAGTTGGAGGGGCGGGCCGGAAGGGGCCAGGCTTCGGGGCTGAAGCAGAGTGAGCGCAGCAAGGATGGGGGCCCCCGGCAGGTGTGGGAGCAGGATGGGGTGCAGGTGTGTGCAGGTGTGCCGTGCAGGAGGCACGCTGAAGGGCCAGGAGGCGCCAAGCACACGCTAAGCACTTGCTTTGGGCAAAAGACGGCTGGCCAGCGGTTGTGCGCAGGACCCCAGCAGCCGCGGTGCCGTGACCCTGGGGTCGGCCACGGAGCCAGAACTCGGCTCCACAGGTTCCACGCGATCAGCGTGGGTCCCCCACGCCCAGCCCCGCAGTACGGCTGGTCCCCCCACGTCGGCCTGCTGTGCGCTCACTTCCAGCAGTGCTCCAGGGAGCTGTGCGGCTGGATTTTCAGCTTGTGGGGGCACAGCAGCTTGGTGAAGGCGCGGCGGAAGCTGTAGTGGCAGAGGGGGTAGAGTACGGGGTTGACGGCCGAGTTGGCCCACAGGAGCCAGAAGGACGTCTCGTACCAGTAGTCGGGGACGCAGTGGCCGTGGCAGGCGGCTCGGATGATCATCAGGAGCGTGTACGGGGCCCAGCACAGCCCAAAGATGCTCACGATGGTGGCCAGCGACTTGGCCACCTTCTTGTCCCGAGACAGGCGGAAGCGCTGGGTGACGCTCTGGGACACCATCTTCATCCGCTTCTCCAGCGAGGCCGAGGACGGCTTGGAGCCGCGTTTGAGCGAGCGCGGCCGGTCGGCGCCCCGGGAGGAGCTGCCGGAGCTGGAGGTCGGGGAGGCGGCGGCGCCCCCCCCACTGCCGCCCCCCAGTGCGGCCTCCCCTGCCTCGGGCCCCGGGGCCTCGCCGCCGAGCCCGTACCGGTGCAGCGGCAGGGCCTCCCCGCGCCCCCGGTGCCAGCAGCCCCAGCAGCCCGGCGGTGGGGGCGGCGGGGAGGGCTCTGCCTGGGGCGGCGGCTCCGGGCCCGACGCCTCCCGGGCGCCGTCCAGGCGGACGCGCGTGCGCCGCTGGATGTTCAGGTAGATGCTGAGGTTGAAGAAGGTGACGCTGAGGAAGGGCGTGAAGAACTCCAGCGTGGAGGCGGTGATCAGGAAGTACCAGTTGTAGAAGAACTCAGCGTAGCAGTGGCCCTCGGGGATGGAGCTGCCGCCCGACAGGTGCTCCCAACTCAGGATGGCCGGCCCGTACAGCAGGAAGGCCAGCACCCACACCAGCACCATCTTGCACACTGCCCGCCGCGTGTCGCCCTGCTGGGCCCTGTACGAGACCTGCAGCGATGTGGGGAGGAGGGCATGGGTCAGCAGAGCCCTAGCTGTGCTCGGTTTCCTATGGACCCCCCCCAAACTGGAAGCCCCTGGGGGTTACAGCATCCCCCCCCCGCAACCCCATTACCAGCCCCTGGCTCTCCCTCCACAGCACAGATGCAGGCTGGGCACCTGCTTCCCACTTGAGGCTTGAACCATGGCCTGGCACCAGCCCGGTCAGCCCTGTGCAGATGGGGGATGGGAGGACATGAGGAAGCCCTTCCCCCATCCCCCTGGGCCATCCCCACCTCCAGTGTGCAAGTATCCTGGAGCCACACCAGGACAGGGTTTGGGGGATGGGGGAGATAGGCCTGGTCAGCACCCAGCAGGGCCCCCCAGAAGCTGGCAGGGCCTGGGCATACAGAGAGACATCAGCTCAGAGGGCAGACTGGGTAGGATGGACCGGCCTATACCATCCTGGGACTACGGAAAGTACGTTGTGACAGCACTTTCCCTAGACCTGAACCACAAAGTTCCACATGCCTGGCCCAGGGGACAGGGGACTGGGACAGCTGTAGCCCCTACCTGTGTCCTCCCTCACGGCTGGCTTCTGAGGCCAGCAGGGAACACAGCTGCCACAGAGAGGAGGCCACCTGAAGTGGGCAGTAAAGAGGTGACATGTGCTGCCAGCCCACTGCCCCACGTCCAGTATGCAAGACACAAGGACCGTCCCAGCCCTTGCCTGCCTCCTGCTGATCCTGGCTGCCAGCCAGAGAACTGCTGTCTGCCCCTGGGGAGGGTAACACCTGTATGTGCCTACAGGTACACATGCATGTTAGTGTGCTCAGGAGCATGTGTGTGCATGCACCTGCATGTATCTGTCCCAAGTGGGCCTGTGCATGTCTGTATCTGTGCACATGTGCTTGGTGCATGCGTACTGTGCATCCAAGTGGGTATATGTGCATGCATGTGCATGGATTATACTTGCACATGTGCACTCACGTTTGCATGTATACGCATGTGCATGTCTGTGTCTGTATATGTTTGCATGGCACATGTGTACACATTTGTGCACCTGAGTGGGTGCATGCATATGCATGGGTTATACTTGCACATGTGTGTGCATGTTTGTGTGTGTATGCATGTGCATATGCATGTGGTGGGGTGGTCTCGTACATCCCCCAACACAAGTCTTGCTGAGGGCTTCTGGCCCCAGATCTTCCCTCAGTTCCAAGTGGAAGGATGCGGAAGGATCCCACCATCAGGCTGTCAGCCGTGCCCCCCCTAGAGCCCCCGGGACTCACGGCCCTGGTGACGGACAGGAAGCGGTCGTAGCTGATGAGCACAATGTTGAAGACCGAGGAGGTGCAGAGCAGGTAGTCCACCACTAGCCACAGCTTGCAGAGGCCACGGCCGAAGGTCCAGCGGCCAGTCAGCACGTAGGGAACGTACAGGGGGATGCAGAAGGCACCTGGGGGAGAGTGGGGAGAGGGGTGTCATGCTGGAAAGGGGGCCTGGGGTAATGCCGCCTGCCTCAGAGGGGGCGTCAGGCAAGACCTAGGGGTCAGCCCGCAACTTGGGACTGCTCCCCTCCCCTCCCCCACGCCGCGTCTCCGAGGCCACACCCTCTGTCCTGAGTCTGCCCTCCTCTCACAGCATGCCCGCACCAGCAATGATGTGCTGGAGATGGAGGCATGGGGTGGGGGGTCACCAGGGCGATTTCTCAAGGGACCCAGATCCTGGAGTCCGATCAGGCTTCTGTCGGGCTCTCCCCAGCACCCAAAGGGGTGAAGATTCTCCCCTCCCCGCGATGGATCCCAGTCCTAGCCTCGCTCCGATAGTTCTGAGCATCATCTCAGGCACCAAAGAAGTCTCCCACCGCGAAGCCTCTCTCTCAGAGCAAGGGACGAGCTGAACCTCCCAGAACCAACAGGTGTCTGGCGCTCGGCCCCTTGGCGCCCCGCCCCCCAGCCAGCAACAGAGCGCGGACACGTGAGCGCATGCAGCTCCTCTGAGCACCCCCGCCTCTCTCGCGGCCCCCTCCCCCAACACACATCCTTGAACCCCCTCTTTCCTGTCCCCTCCCCCAAACCTCTCCACACGCTTCCCCGCGCCCTCCTCGTGTCCTGAGTCCCTGCAGCCTTTGTTTGGCCACAGCTCAGAGCCAGCGCTGCACCTGCCGCCGCTGCGCCCTGCGCCCTGCGCCGCCTGGCTGAGCGCCCGCCACGCTGGCCTTTCCCCGGGACGCCCCCAGGACCTGCCCCGCCGGCCCG